ATCATCTCATCCTCCAGAAACATTTGAGCTTTTTTCTCCAATAACTGAAATGAACAGTTACAGTTTAATTATTATCACTCCTGGCACCGTATCTTTTTATAACTTCATTTGTGAATTATGCTGCGTTCCATTTCAACTTGTAACTTGGAAATTCGGAGTTCCTAGTGGGAAATATCAACTGAAGTCGGAATTTAATGTACTCTGAGCTAAATATAAGTGAATGAAGATGAAGGCCATTTAAACTGGGGCACATTAAATTCAAGGAGTTATCTGGCTAAGCAAGAAACCCTGCTGTTTGAAACAGGTCCCTATTCAAGCGATTTCAGGTCCCTGGTTTTGCAAAATGGCTTTCCGACTTGCTGTACTGGAACGAGGGTAACTTGGGTGTGACGTCATTCCCAGCTCCGACTTCCGACCTCCGAGGTAAATGGAACGCAGCATTAGTTGTAAATATCTCTTTCACAGGACAAACTACTTATTGTTTACGTGTATCTGTAGAAGATATATGTCAATTTATATAAAATTTAAGAAAATATACTTAATAAATGCAAACCTTGAAGATGGATGATAAGTCTCCTTTATGTGGATGTAAATTACATCTATTCACTCGGTCCCTGTGAATAAAACACAAATATCCAACCATTATGTTTTTATTTAAATAGATGCAACTGCGGGGGCAGCATGGTGGTGCAGTGGTTAGCACTGTTGCCTCGCACCTCTGGGACCTGGGTTCAAATCTCCACCTGGGTTGCATGTGTGTGGAGTTTGCATGTTCTCCCCGTGTCATTGGCTGCTTGGCATTGCTAAATTGCCCTTAGGTGTGCATGTGTGGGTGACTGGTGTGCAAGCATCCAGACCCCCTGCAATCCAGTAGGATAAGCAGGTTGGACAATGGATAGATGTAACTACCATCCACATTCTGAGCTTATTTCATTAGGGCAGCTTCCTGACATCAGCTTGCTTATGAGAAGAGAAGCAGTGACATCTAGTGGCAGCAGGAGAGACAGCAGGTAGCAGCCAGGAGAGACTGTTTGGCATGTAGCTCCCAGTCACTCAATGATATTCACTGGTTCCAGGGTTAACTTCTTGTAAACTGTTTAACATGATTTCAAACAGATTTCAACTTAATTACCATAACTATCCAGGGGTGGAATTCAAGCAGGGGACAACCCTGGCTCCTGAAATTTAGGGCCCCCACCTGATCTCAACCTTTTTTTTTTGCTGAGAAAAAAAAAACATAGAACAAATACAACCCCTGGCATAAATTATGGAATCACCAGTCTTGGAGGATGTTCATTCAGTTGTTTGATTTTCTAGAAAAAAAGCAGATCACAGACAGGACACAAAACTAAGTGAATTTCAAATGGCAACTTTCTAGCTTTAGAAAACATTAAAGGAAATCAAGAAAACAACTAGTTATTCAGTAAACGTCTCCTTTTTTAGACCAAGCAGAGGGAAATAATTATGGAATCATTCAATTCC